GCAGCAGCAGCAGCAGCAGTGGGAAACCTCCACCTTAGCTGACCTAGTACGCTCTACATGCATGCATGCAGCAGCAGCAGCAGCAGCAGCAACAGCAGCAGCAGCAGCGGCGGCAGCAGCAAGAGCAGCATCAGTCCTAGTAGCAGCAGAAGCAGCAGCACCATTTTGCAGCAGCAGCACGAGCAGTTGCTGCTGCCTTGGAGGGGACTATATTGTGTATCTTTCTGCTGCTGCGGCTGCTGCTGCTGCTGTTTCTGCTGCTGCTGCTGCTGCTGCTGCAGGCTTCTGTGCTGCAGCTTGCATGCACTGATATGAGGGCCCCATCAACGGTTGCTCGGGAGGCATTTTCTTTGTGAGTTTCTGCTGCATTTGCGGTGTATGCACACCTCGATCTGCTGCGCTGCTGCTGCTGCTGCTGCTGCTTCAGCAGCAGCAGCAGCAACAACAACGTGTCTGCGGGTGTCACACTGTTGCAGCAGCAGGAGCAACAGGACCTCTGGCCTTGCAACTGCTGCTTTTGCTGCAGTTGCTGCTACAGTTGCTGCTGCAGTTGCTGCTGCAGTTGCTGCTGTTGCTGCTGTTGCAGTTGCTGCTGCAGTTGCTGCTGCAGTTGCTGCTGCTGCTGCTGTTGCAGTTGCTGCTGCTGTGTATTTTGCTGCTGCGTGCAGGTTCTTCCGGGTCTGCGAAGAACGCAGCCAGGATGAAGTGCATGCAGAGGGAATGCATGCAGCAGCAGCACCCCGAGCAGCAGCAGCAGCAGCAGCAGCAGCAAGGCAAGAGTTCCTGCTGCCGCTGCTGCTGCAGCAGTGCGACAGAGTTGTGAGGGCCTATGCAGATGCCGCCCAGAAAGGCTCAGAGGTTCGTCAGCAGCAGCAGCAGCAGCAGCAGCAGCAGCAAGAGCAGCAGCAGCAAGAGCAGCAGCAACAAAGTAGTATAGACAGTAGCAGCAACAGCAGCAGCAGCAGCCAGCAGCAGCACGAAAATCAGCAGCAACAGCAGCAAGGACATCACTCCACGACACTCCTCGTTGCACTTATACATTTATACATTTCTATATTTATTTATTTATTTATTTATATTTATTTATTTATTTATTTATTTATTTTTATTTTATTTTATTTTTTTTTTTTTTTTTT